CTCAAGAGTTTGCCAGGCATTTGCTCTCACCATCAGCATAAAGAAAACAGTTGTGCTAGGAAAGGAGTTCCACAAGATCCATCAATCACTCTTAATGAGAATCAGCTAGAAGTAGTCCAAGAGTTCAGCTATCTGCGCTCTACAGTGACCACCAACTTCTTACTGGATGAAGAAGAATTTAATGTTCACATAAAAAAGGCTGCCACCACCTTCAGCGGACTAAATAAACGATCATGGAACTACTCGAAGCTTACCATCAAGACCAAAATGCTAGTGTACAAAACTTGTTCCTTAGAGTTTTAAAATCATTCCCAGAAGTTGCCCTCTTTTTTTGAACTCTGTAGTGTATTTATAAAAACACAGTATGTGAAGTAAAGTAGCACTGTGGATTTGAAATTCTAGATGGCAGAGCAGTTTTTTCTAAGGGATTTTAAATATGTTGAGATCAGTAATAAGAGTGCAGTTCAAGTATGTACACAAGAGAAGCAGAATGAAGCTCATCATTCATTAACTAATTACTGGCATCTCCTCTTCCCAGTCATAACATTGCACTAACAGCTTTGGTGTATTTAATGTATCAGTTTGTGGGTATTTTTTTAAACATTCCAACCTGTTTTGGTTACAGAACTTACAAGGTCTGCTAGTAAAATTCATGGTTGTTCCTTCTGCTGGATTTGCTCTGTTTGCAGCATTTACATTATGCAGTCTATAGTTAATGTGACTCCTAATTTCTGAAGCCATCCACCTTTATCTTTATAAACTCTATGAATGTAATGTAAGAGCTACTTAATGGCCCAAGTCCTCCTGTCAGAATATTGCCTTCAGTGCCAAACTGGGCCATGTGTTAGGGCTTGCCTTAGTCTGTGAAAAGGGATCCCTTCTTTTTTCCCAAGGCTGTGGAGTGGCAGTAATCATTTGAAAGCCACTAATCCAGTTCTCTGTCTTGCTTCACTGTGGGAATAGAAAAGGTCAACTGAATTCATGCAACAATTGCTTCTTTCATCCAATGCCCCCATTTAATCCCATATATCTCATCTCATTTAATTATTTTCCCCCTCCTGCTGCTACAAGTGTTATGGGGCAGGGGGATGGTTTGCCTTCTGTGGAAGCATTGGGTGTTGACCATTTTGACTAAGCTGTGCAGTGCTCCTGCTGGAACTTAAACCTGGTTGTTCCTGGCTAGAGGGCTTTGCCCCTTCACTCAGGATCAGGCTGATCACTGTATTTCGGGTCAGGAAGGAATTTTACCTCATGGCCAGATTGGTCTAGGCCAGGGGTAGACAACTCCCAGCACAGGTGCCAAAGTGTGGCACTTGAAGGCATTTTGCTTGGCATGCACACCTTGGGGCAGACAGTAAAGGGGCCGGGGCTGAGTTGCCAGAAGGATCAGGCCCCTTGGACAAGGATCAGGTCACAAGGATCTCCCACTGTCCATCCCTAGCACACCAACAACTAACAAGTTGAGATTGCCCAAAAACATTACTGACCCAATATAGACGATGCAGGTTTTTGCTTTTCTCCATATAAAGGGGTGTGACCCTCTTCCTGAGGTATCTTGAGTATATATTAACAAACCTTACAGCAGCAGGACATTGGCTGCCATGGTCTCCCTGCTTTACCTGTGGCAGGTGTATTGTTATGTCTTGTGGTTGTGTCAGGAAATGTCTGTGTAGTTTGGCTAAAATGTTAGCCAGTGAATTTGCATAGGACGGTTAGGATAGGGATGATCCTGCCTCAGGCAGGAGGTTGGATTAGATGACCTTCTCACCCTGCTTTTCTATGATTCTGTGATCTGGGAAGAACAAAGCACTTGCATGAGCTATGAGATTACTCCTCCTAGTTCCTCCTTTTCCCTCATACAACAGAACAACCATATTTTTTTGTGGGGAGCATCTTCTGCAAGTACAATGTGCAAGATGCAGGGTTTGACCCACTGGGATTTAAGGCTAAGCATCCTCAAGCTGTTAAAACAGTTTAGCTGCAGTGCTAAGTTTATATCTGGGGTTCCTGAATTATAGAGCTTAATGTTCCAGCAAGCCTCTTCACAATATAATTTTAAAGAAGACCATGTGAACCCATAAAGTTTTGGAGAAGTTGTTTTATATTGATTGAAGAATGACACACTTCAGAGCCTCCAGTGTCTTAACAGAGCTCTCACATTGATCTAAAACCACAGAGGTTTCCAGCTGCTGAATTTAAACGTTCATAGCATTAAAACTGCTGAAATAATACTCTTCAAATTTAACTTATGTAGCTACTGATGAGATTAATAAATCTTATTTTGTCACAAATGTTAGGGTTTGTGGGGTTTTTAGTTCTCAAGGAAACTACTCAGTTGTCTCTGTAAATAAAGCAAAATTAAATATTTGGCACATTTTTCTTGCATAATCAAGGACAAGAATAAGTGTTGATGCTGTATTATTTTTTGGTTAATTAGCGAATCAGGTTTTGGATTTCTTAAGTAATCTGAATGATGAATATAAAGAGCCCATTTCAAGAAAAGTATAAAGTTGAAGCATTACATTAAACCATACTTTAAGGAAAACAAAGTACTAAATTTATATTCCTGTTACAAAGACAAACATAAAACAAAACGTTAAGTAGAAATAGAAAGTGCTGGTTTATACTAGTCTGTGCTATGGTTAGACTGAAAGGCAAATATCATTATTAACTTTTACTGTCCCTTTTAGTATTTGCATTTAATAGAACAAGGTACTAGGAAGTCAGAGGATCAGCTGTATAAAGATAACATTTTGGCATCTACATTCATTGTAACAAAATGGATTCTGACAACCACTAAGTGCAGTCAGTGGTCTGGCATGGCCTATATTCTTCTTTGGTAAACATGAAAATAAATTTAGGCCCGCAGGCATAATGAAAAATAATCCTCTTTAGAGAAAAGATGACCATTATGCATCACTGTGGTTAAGTTGCCATTTATTATACTGTCAGTTTTGGAGCCACTGGACCTTGTTCTGATCTATTGGATTGATGTACATGTGTCTTGGATCAGGTAGTATATTTTCTAGATATTATCAGGGAAACTTAATTTGCCCTATAATTCTTACTTCCTAGTTGGTAGATTATCATTTTTATGTAGTTTATAAAGGAGTTCTGCAGCACTCTGCTTTAAAATACAGGGACACCAAGGCTGAATATAGTTAATTTTTCTGGATCACCAAGGAATATTAATTATTATCCACTACACATCTGTAGTTGGGACTGTAAAGCAGCTAATTATGATAGCTGATGCTAACTAACATAGTAGTAGTAATTTCAGCCACACTTTTGAATAAAAGATGTAAGTGTCCATTTGTCTATTGGGTAGGCAAATTAATTTTTAGAAGCTGTTTACTTAGGGGTTTTTTTATAAACAGCTTCTCACTGTTAATGAATGACACTGATAAAGATTTAATTTACAAGTTTGTACTTGTCACTAGAAGGTAACATTATATATTTTCCACAAAGACTAAGCAGCTTTCTGTTTCTGGGTATTTGGAAAATAGGTATTTGTATACCAGTAGTTGCTTGCTGACATGAAAATGTATTTTAGGTGAGGCTATTTTTGAGGAACTTTAAAAACATCCGTAGACTCCTTTTAACGTCTTAAAGAATGGGGAAAACAACTTAGCTTAAAATATTTTAATTTAAGAAATCTAAACAAACTCCTGCATTCCCAGCCTCACCAATATGAAATGGTAAAAAATGTCTGGATCACAAATTAACGGAGGCCCTGGCAACATGTTACATGTATTATGCAATTAACTGGTTAATTGTGCAATAAATTTAGATCAGACACATGTGCAAAGTAATTATCACACAATTAAAATTATCTAGCTATAAAAACAGCCAATCAGCTATAAAGTTAGTTCTTGAAAATTTGTAACAACTCTAAATAGCTGGTTTCTGACTAGCTTTAATTTTAAATGTGTAATGGGACCCTGACAAATGTGTTTACAGGAGAGTATTTATTAGTAAAATAATATTTCCAGCATAATTCAAGACCTGAAGCCTTTGCAATCAAGCCTGTTAAAAGCATTCTAACTTCTAGCTAAACTGTCCGAGCAAGCCTGTATATTACTGTAGCCAACTGCAGAGTTAAATTTAAGCAGAGGCTAGATACCTCAGAACATGTGGAAAAGTTAAGCGAAAAAGAAAGTAGGAGCTCTGTGTCTATGACCCTTCTCTTGCCTTTCCTTGTCTACCAACTTGGAAGAGCTTTGATTGTATTTTTCCATCTTTAACATGCTAGTCAGGACCAAAATGCACAAAAGCTAAAGAAGTAAAAAGTTGTGGTCCCCACATCACCTATAATCTGGCAACACTGCAATTATATGGTAGTTTGGAGAATAAATATTTACTGTATGTGCACAATTAGTGTGGGCACTCAGTGGGGCAGTTAGAACTGCTGTAGGAGCCATTAGTGTGAACCTGCAAAATTGTTTCATAACAGCATAGCAATATGTTTTCATTCAACAGGTACATTATTTACAATTGTTTGCTTTATCCCCATGTTTAGATTCTTGTGCACAAGCTTATATTCCTTCTACTCCCTGGCATCAGAGTCCAGGCAGTCAATGGACTGTTGGGTTTACACATCAGGCTTAAGGCAAAATATTGTACAGACACGAATCAGTACTATTTCTTTAGTGTTTAAAGTTTCACCAGATACTAAAAATGCCAGCCCAGTTTCATCAGCAGCAACTCAATCTAACACAAAAAGGAGAAAAACACCGGACAAGTCCTCATCAGAATCTGTATTTCCTAGGTTAATTGCATGTTATGAAGGATAAAGATAACAATAGATTGGGTTCTGTGGTAAAAATTCATCTGAGTGGCCATTACTGCAGAAAATTAATTGTGGCATGTAGACCTAGATGAGGTCTATATTTCACTATTGTATGAGATTGTCTTATGTGTTTTCAAATATATTAATACCCCAAATTAGGTTCTAGCTCAACTACTTCTCCAAAGCAAAAAGATATTTCTTCTCCACTCAGACCCTAGGTACACAAGAGCTTTAAAGCTGAAGTGGATTCTGTGAATAATGCTACTCAGCCCAGATAAAAACAAAAATGGTGAGACAAGAAGGTCTGTATGCGTGACTCATTCCCATGGCCAGGAGCTCCTCAGCTTGGATCCCAGACCTACCAACAGTTTGGTAAGACAGACTCTCCTTCTGTGTCCATTTCCCCATGTATAAATCAGGATGCTAATACTAAGTAAGGTATTGTGAGAATAAATGTATTTCATAGACATCATCATCTGTTGGTATGGCAGAGTATCAAAGTACTCATTAATTACAAGATGTCTTTTCTTTTTGACTGAAAGTCTGCCTTATTTGAGTGGACTACTTTTTCACTTTATGGTATCAAAGTATGGCTTTTTGAAGATGCAAAGTACTATCAGTTCTGATAGGACAGGTTACCCAGAGAGGCTGTGGAATCTCCATCCTTGTAGGTTTTTAAAAAAACTAATTATAATACTCGTTACAATTCTAAAACTGGCATGATACAGTTGGAGATGGTCCTGCTTTGAGCAGGGGGTTGGGCTGGATGACCTCCTGAAGTCCCTTCCAACCCTGATTTTCTATGGATCTGGTTGCATGCAAAGACTAATCTCCCCTTATATGATAGGCTGTCTTGCATTTCCAAAAGCAAAAATCATCAGCAGACAACAAACTGTCCAATATAACTACATTTACACTGATAACAAAGTGTGTAATAGGTAACATGGTTTAGAGATTAGAGAACTGGTCCAAAGAGCTAGATTCTGTGTCACCTCTCCTCTGCACTTTAGTTTCAGCATCTGTAAAATGGGGTAGTGTTTTGTCTCCTTTCGTAAAGCCCTTTGAAATGTACTGATGAAAAGCTTTATATAAAAACTATAATTCTTATTGGACTTAATCCATTTAATTACACAGTCTTTTCCAAATCTAAGCCTTCCTGGACCATCTTGTGGACCTACCCTTCTTTGAAGGAAGCGCTGTAGGATAAAAGATGGCTGGCCACAAAGTTTAAATTGACCCAAAATTTGATAGATACATCTTGCCCTGTGCAGCATGTTTTGCAGCAATTTGTCTCTAGTAAAGCTGAACCCTAACGTGGTATACATCAAGACAGCCATTTATTGTTGCTTTTTTTCCCTTGAGGGAATGGTTTGGTCTGACAGCTTTAGTTTGACACATTTTCAAAGTTGATACAGTTTTAGTAGTTTGATCATTTGGAATGTTAGGAATTAATGACAGCACAACCGTTATACATGGGCAAAATATATTTCTTCTGAATTGAAAGGCTCCAATAATCTTTTTAAAACATTTCTCAAATAGCTTATTAGTATGAGTATAGTTCATATTTGCTTTAACTAAAACATAGCTCACCCTATTTATTTAAAAGGTAAGTAGACTACTTCTGCTTCTACAACTTTTTAATGTTTGTAGTAGTTTCCTTAACCCAAGTTTGAGTCACTGTGAGCATTATTAAATAAATCCATCCAAAAGGTGTGAATTTATGATGATACAAAATGTACTCTCTCTCCGTCCTGGTTGCAATATGGCCCCACTGAAATGCTTACTCCAGTCAGTGAACTGTCCTTTGCATTGCTTGCACGAGGTAGGGTTGACTCTGGAAGGGGAGGTGCACTGACTTGGAGGTTTGAATGATTGGTACTTGCAAGATGTGATGTTGCACAACAATGAAGCTAGTGGCATTGCTGTTTGGTATTTCAGAACTGATGGTCAGACCACAGGTATAGATTGCTTTCTCCATGCTGAGTGGTTCCACTTGCCTCCTCCATGCAAGAGCTCCACTTACAGCTGTAAGACAAATTTGTCTGGACTACAGCTGGGTAAATTTTATCATCTAAAATAAATATGGATAGGACTGAGGTGTAACTTTTATAGCAACTAGTTTGCTTAACTCTAAGAAATTAGATGTAGGAACAAACTAGAGGTAATTACTGTGGAGACTAGACTAGTAAAGGCTATTCTACAATGTCTTAAAAGGATTACAGGAAAAGGGAAAAGGCAGAGAAAGATCCTTACTATGTATAGAGACCCTGCACCACTCATCTGGCCTGCAGACAGGCAAGTTGAGCATCACTAAGTTAAGCAGTTAAAGGAAACGGCTGTGACCCTATTATCATATAATGAACATTAATGGAGTACTAAGTACTCATTAATTACAAGATGTCTTTTCTTTTTGACTGAAAGTCTGCCTTATTTGAGTGGACTACTTTTTCACTTTAAAGCAAACAACTGTCTGATATGAAACACTTATCAGTAAATGTTACTTCTTGTGTAGCTGTCAACCTGAATGCCAGCATTAGGACACAGAAGCATTTTAAGAGCAGACTTCATAAATATTTACAACCTTCCTAGACCTCTAATAAGACCTTATTATTTTATTAAGATTTTATCCATTTCTTTCAGCAAATACAATAGCTTGATATAGATCTAAAGGGTAGAGATAAATGTATTTCCTTAAACTCCTCTCATGCAAAACGTAGGTGGTCAAATGAAAACTATCAAGCTTGGAAGCAATGGTGCCAAGCCAAACACAAACTATTTCATATGAAGAAAACTAATTATAATAGCCATTATAATTCTAAAACTGGCATCAAGAGAAACAGGATTCCCAAGGAGAATCATGTACCTACCGGGTTAATTGTAAAAGGATGCAAGCCAATTCATGTTTTGTTGGAGTTCTACATGCACATCAAAAACCTGTTTAGTGATGACATTCTAGAGCTAGAAAACAAAATAATCTTATATTTGCATGCAGTTATTTCAAATATCAGGCAGACTAAGAAAGATATACATTCTCTGGAAGAAAATTAATACTCTGAAGCTCTAGTTAAAATTTTTAGGTCACTGAATTCTGCTCCCTCCTCCCACAGTTTAAAAAAAGTTAAACTGAAAGACTTGTGAGAAGGTAGCAGAGGTTGGATTTTTTTTTAAACTGGGTATATATTAAGCCATTAATTCAAAAGGCAGGATATTATATGTGGTCTATTTTCTCATCCTAAAATTCTTACTGTCTTATTTTTAGCCCAGTGAACTGATGATGGCAATGCACAAACTTGTACAAGTCTGCAGATATACTTGTCTTCCTTGAGCTTCCCTGAATTCCAGTTGCATAAGCTCTCTCAATATTGAGAGCTCCCAGCCCCAATACATCCAGTCAACATTACATATTTTATTTCACTATCAGTTACTTAATAGGTAGTATTCTTCCAAGAAGGGGCACAAAACTATTGGGTTCAGAAACAGCACCATGACTATTATTATTATTAAGTCACTGCTATATGCCTTCAGAGATCAAGTGCATCTTTTTTCACCTGAAGAATTTTTTCAAAAAGTAATACATAGAGGATGTCAGGGCCAGAGATGGAGTGGGAGTAAGAGTGTACTAATATTCACCTAGACCAAAGTCCCAGATAGAAATTGAATACTAGTTTTTTTTTTTTTTTAAGAATTTTATTATCCAAAAAAAAGGATGCCGATTGTAACTTGCACTATAGTGTGTCATTAGCAGGCCTTATAAACAAATACCCATTATTTTAAGCTAGCTACAAAAAAAAAAAAAAAAAGACAAACACAAAATAAAGCATCACATCTCATTCAAGATATAGTTATACAGGTTTACAGGATGCTTAACTAGAAAGTACTACATTATTAGTAGCCATAACGGGGCCTCTTATTGTAGGAGTTTTTGCCATACTGCCCATATTGTGGGGAGAAAGATTCTTCTTGTCTGTATTGTTGGTAGTTATTACCCCAGCTTCTCTCTTGCCTCTGATTATATCTGTTGTCACCTTGCCAGTTATACCTGTCTCCTCTATACTGTCTGCCATCTTGAAACCTAGAATAAAAAGAAATTTGCATGAACTTTAACACAAGCCCTGAGATTTTAGAAGATGAATGTTCACCAACATTTTAGTGCAATCCTAAAATATGGCACTCAGCTATTTACATACTCAAATACCATTTTTTTTTTTTATTACTAGCAATTATTATTAATAGCTATCCTGGCACCCAAGATAATTTTTTAACTATTTACTACTACCCATGAACTGACGGAGTGAAAAAAATTTCAGCCACCTCACATGCACCTTTCAAAATGAATTGCTAAAATTTAGGATAAACATTCTCTTAATCTATAAAGCAATCAAGTATAGCCATGCCTGAGCGAGTAAGTATGGCATCAACTAGTAGTAGCTTGGATATTAACAGCAGTTATGTTTAAAAATATGGAATTAGTACAATTAATGTGTTTATTTTAATCGTGTAAACCACAGCTTCATGTACGGATAAACAAACAACAATGGACACTAAAAGCTATCTAGCACAGCAGCATGGAGCTCCATGCAGCACATATTAACCTCCACCCTGCCACAGCTAAACTACTTTCAATATCACAGATAGTTTAGTATTTCCACATCGCTGCAGACTGCAGCAAACACAAGCCTATCTACACATGCTGCAATTACACTTTGATTGTAGTGTAAATGAGCAGAATATGTTCATTCATAAAAACCAAGCTTTACAAAGTTTCTTAAACAACCCCCTTTTCTGTTGCAAAAACTTGTAAGATGAGGATTATTTACTATGAAATTAACTCTTATTGTACAAGTACTTATATACCTGCTTAACTTAATGCACACAGTTGGCCTATGCAAGTGTTTGTAGGATCAGGATTCAAGCAATAAATGCGGTGCAGGTGGTACAAAAACATTGCTTAACTCTTAAAAGTAGTAACTGCCCTTTATCTACGGTTCCCCAAAAAAATCCACTACCGCGTTTTAAGTTAAAAATGGAAAGCAGCAAATAGCTTACAGAAAAAGCATAATTCAAACTATTTTTGGTAGGCATAATATATCCCTCTAGCAAGTATACTGAAGGATTGTGATGCATTCTGCAGTGCCTACAAATAGACAAAACCAATGCAGACTAGGCTAGTCACAGAATGTCAGATGTTATCTGGGCTGAAAACAACAATTTTTTGGACAACTAACAAAACAAGCATGTTATTATTCTGTTGCTTGACACTGTCTATCTTCTGCTGATTATTATGCTACAGAAGACAGGCTGTTTGGTTTTGCAGACAAACTCTCATCTCTCCCCTCTGGATAAATCAGTTCACAGCCAGGCAACAACTGGCCCCAAAGGCAATCAGTTTAGTGGTTCCAGCTTCTTGCTTGCCAGAAAACGATGCGTTTCATACTCTTATATGAAATGCAAAACCACTGTCAGGATCCGTTCAGTGGAGTCCCACTACCTTTTAATCTGGAGAGAGGTACATTTGTTTAATTAGAAAACCCATCGGTTAACAAAGGGCAGCAGAAAATGAACTGCTTCCCTTTACTGTAAGGTTGATATAATTGTAAAGTGGCTATCACTATGAAGCTGGCAAAGATTCCTTTAAATCAGTACCGATCTCTGTTTCTCTGGTTGCCACCATATCTAGTTCTCCATTCTTCTACTACAGGAGGTGGATCTGCAGGACGTTTCAGGTACTCTTGATACTCCTTATCATCTGCTGTAAATCGATGAGCAAACATCTCCTCATAATTTGGAGGAAGGTCAAGTGAAGAGGTCATCCTGATATCTCTTGAGACAGGAAAAAAAAATGGATGCACCTTAAAAATACATAACAAAGGACTTTTTTTTGCTACCAAAATCAGTGAAAACACTACAACATTTTAAAAGTGATTTAATTGTTATGTAGTGCACTAACCACTATGTTTACAGTCCTCAACACCTACTTTGGGGTTACCGACATTACCAATACAATGGAGGTTTTCTAGAGATAGTTCTAACAGAGGGGAGAGACCATCACCTTCTTGCTCCTTAGTCACCCATCATTAGCTTATTTAAAGCAAACCTTAGTAGGGCCACCACACATCTGCCAAGGCTCAGCAGAAACGCTTTGGATCTTTATGTTCCAGGTACTCTCCAGCAAGAGGGACTGCATGCCTGCCCTCCATGGCCAGCTTTCCTCATCTGATGCAGCTCCCCATCCCAGTTCAGGGGAGCTGGAGGCAATTGGTCCAGGGAGCAGGATGTATCCCTCTCTTCCTGCAGGCTAACTAACGCCTGCCAAAGGCAGTGCACATCATGTATGTTAACTCTCCTTCACCAGGCAGAAGCTGGCAGCCTCAGGACTCCCAGTGCCCCCCAATAAACCTTAGAAAGCTCCCAGGGGCTCTTCAACATCAGAATTCTCACTGTGGGCTTTGAAAGTACCTTTGGGCTTACATCACGTTTCGCATATTACACAATTAACTGGCGAATCTCACAATAAATTCAGACCAGTCACACGTGCAAAGTCAGGGCCCCTCGACATACACAGGTAAAGGTGCCATGCGATCCAATGCGCAATCCACACAGTCACACCCCTGGCCATGCCACACACGCATGGCAGAAGGGCAACTGGTATCACATTAGATCCCCTCATGCCTTATTGCCGGTACGGGGGGAGCCCGGGATCACCAGCCTGGTGGTCGTCCTGCACCAGCTCCCACAGGGCTTGGCAGAGCACCCAGAGGGGCAGCTTTCTCCCCCCCAGCCCCGGGGAGCCCTGCACCTCCCAAGGCTCGCAGCAGCGGCAGCCTCCTCCCTGCAGCCAGAGACGCCTTCTCCTGGTTGCGCGCCCCACAGCCGACGGTGCCGCCAGCACAGCGCATCCTGCACCCCTGCAGCTGCGAACCCCGCAGCTGACGGGGGAGCGCTCGGACTCGCCCTCAACTAGTGGCGCGACGACAACAAGCAACCAACTTGCCGCCCGTTTTAGGGGAGCGCCGCCGCAGCTCAGTGCCCGTCTGCTCACCCCGCTCGGTGGTTCGGCGCGTCGCCGGGGGGTCACAACTGACGGCGACGTTACCTGGCTGGTCGCGCCTCAAGCGTCAGGGGCAGCCGGGGGGGGCGGGGCTCAGTCTCACACGCTCCTGTAAAGAAAAGAGGAGCCGTGGTTTGATGCCCAGACACCCACCTACTGCGGGAACCCGCTGCGAGCTGCACTTGCAGCCGGGCCCCTGACGCGGAGGGGTCGCCCCCGTGCCCAGATGCTGTCGGCCGGGCCGGGAGCTGGGGCTGGGGGTGGCCGCCCTAGTCCTGCCGGCGAGGGGAGACCTGGGGGCCTTGGGTCCGGGGTCACCCCATCAGGGCCCGCAAAGCGCCGCCTCACCCGA